GCTAGCTGGCCAGGGCAACTAGTCAGTCATCTTGCGACAGGACAGCATCCTCGAGTGCCAATTGCAGCAGATCGGTGCTATCTGTTGTGACGCCAGTTGTGGTGTCGGTATCGGTCATGAGCACATCCAGCAGCCTGCCTGCGCGCATGGTTTTGAGCTCTTTGTTATCTGCCACTTTGGAGGTGAGATTACCAATTGTTCTCTTCATGCCACCGGTGGTGAGCTTCAGAATCCTGGCCCCGTGACACTCTCCATCTGCAACGTGGAGGTACACATGGCCTGGAGGAATGCCTAAAACCTTGCCGGGCGTGAGTTGCACGAGCCATCCTCTCTGCTGGCATCGCTTCAAGAATGATTTTGGACTTGTTTGCAGGATCTTGTCGCAGAAGTTCTGCCAGCCGTCCTTCAAATCGTCCGTCTGCAACTTGAAGCCCAGACACGTGCTACTGCCCTCCAGCAACATCTTGAACTCGGTCAAGCAATAATCTGTGGAATAATAAATTTAAAGCTTGGTGGCGCCGGACCCCATAGACCAAAACATGGGCACGAAAATCTCTTTCAAGTCTGCATCCACATTGATGTCCATGAGGTGGTCGGCAGCTGATCCCAACAATTTGGTCCAATCTTTGTCCATTCTGCTTTGGACTTGAGGCTTGGCCACGATGCTTGTGTTGATCTCAGGCCCTTTCTTCTTCCAACCTTCCTTGACCCAGACTTTCTGCTGGTCGAAATAGGGCATGTTCAGCCATTCCTGAGCGTGGGCGCCTGCTGCTTCTCTGGAAGCACCAAGCAATGGTCAGCGTTCTCGAGGCGCATCCAACCGGTTGCATCGCTTTTCCAGCCAAGATCCTCCTTGGCATGGTTGTGCAGCATCTGGCTGTGGACTTCCTTGCCCCACCCGGTGTTTACGCCGGGAGGCAGGGAGGGGGTCTTCTGCTTCTTGCTGCCTTTGGCAGCGTCGGAGGCAGCATCCTTTTTTCTCTTGTTGGCTTTCTTCTTCACATCGGCGGACCACTGCCTAGTTGAAGACATCCAGTCCTTGATGTTCTTGCTCTCGGTGCTGGCGGCGTAGGACTTCAGGAAGGAACTAATGTTCATGAAAAGGTTGTGCCAGTGCTGGGCAGCTTCCTCTGAGGTATCGCCCTTGAACTCGTTTTCGACAGACGCCATCCACTCCCCACATTCAAGAAAACATTGCAGGAAGGGTTTTTCGGGCTTCATGTAAACCCTAAACCCTAAACCCGAAATCTAAACCCTAAACGTTAAACCCTAAACCCTAAACATTGTTAATTTTGGCAAAGCGTCTGTGTGACCTTATCGCAGTACAACTCCTGGTTCTGCAAGAGCTCCTCCAAGTGGGCTGTCTTGTCTTTGAGCTCGTTGACGATGGTTTCGTCATCGGGGTTGACTTCCAAGACCTCCTGCTTCAAGGTCCCGTACTGGGCTTTTGTCTTTCGGGCCATGGACTGCATGGTCTCTCTGGCTTTTGCAATGGAGTTTTCACACTGCAACTTTTCCAGGGCTGCGCTGGAAACTTCAACCTTCTTGGTAGCATTGGCCTTGCGCTTGAGCTCAAGCTGCTCGGCCTCCTCAAACAAGGCTTGCTCTGCGACCCGCCGCTGCTTGGCAGTCTCCAGCATGTCCTCCTTGACTTTAAGGAGAACTGACTCTTGCCTGTTGCCGTTGGCCTGGCTGACCAAAAGGTCTGCTTTCAGGATGTCCTCGGCTCGGCCAAGCCTGGAGGCAGCTTGGGACTGGAAATCGTCCAGGTCTTCTGTAGACTGCAGGTCAACACGCTGCTTGACAGAACTGTTGACCTG